ATATATGTATAAAAGATAATTCTTCACTCTTTTTTGTAATGTAAAGGTGTTTTTTTTTATGTTTATTTGCCACAAAACACAAATGTTTCCAGAAATGTTCCTGTGTAAACATTCTGCAGTTTAAATCATAGAACTTTTAGAACAAAACACAGTTCTGAATTTAGAAAGCTTCCTGGATAGTTAAACACTTTCATCTACAAAATAAAGGTCCAATTGCTTCTTTTTTAAAAGTTCATTTTAAGTAAAAACTAATTTTGTGCCTATTTATTGCTTTATTACTTTTACCTGTTATCTTGTTTTGCTTCTTTTAGCTAGTATTTTGCTTCTTTTAGTTTTTTGTTGCTAGTGTTTTGGTTTGCCACTCTTAAGTATACGTTTGCTATAATTTGATTTTATTTAAAAGCAGAAAGATCTTTCAGTTCTCAGGCTCCTCTCTTGTGGAACCAACTTCCAGTTTCTGTCCGTGAGGCTGACACATTATTCAGTTTTAAGACTGGGCTTTCCATTTTGATAAATCCTAAAGCTTAGACACATTGACCTAATTTCTTAAAATGAATTGTTACAATTCTGATACAGATAGGAGGAATGGTGGCGCAAAGGTTAGAGAAGATGGACCTGTGATTGAAAGGTCGCCAGCTCGAGTCCCCAGACCGACAACATCAAAATGTGAGTGGGAAAGGTGGAACACCCACACCTGCCTCCACCCTCATTTGCCCACTCTGGGCCCTTGAGCAAGGCCCTTAACTTCCACCGTGCTCCCCCGGGTTCTCTAGATAGCAGCTCTCTGCTCCGAGGCTGTGGTAGATCGGTGGTTGCCATCTGGTGTAAAAACAAACTCAAAGTCTTTGTGCAAGTTAGTTCGCTGTGACAACCCCTGAAGACGGGGGCAGCTGAAAGAAGAAAAAAAGTGTATACATTCATATACTTTTCACTGCATATTTTTAAAATATCTCATAAGCAAGATGCATAATAACGCAGAGATGCATTATGTATGTCATAGTCACTACTTACATTTTATAATTATGACTTTGTATTGTAATCCAACCTTTTACTCTAAGAATTTTATTTGATATTTCTTAATTTTGACTTTATTATCTTGGAACTGAATGTTTTGGACTCATAATAGAGCTTTTTAAATTCTAGCTTTATTTTGAATACCATATTAAAATTATTACAATTACACATAAAAAAATGCATTCGTTTATTTTATTATTTAACGTAAATATTTTTTAATTTCCCAACATGACACGCTTAGAGCCTTTCCTTTTACTTGTGGCAGGAACGGGGCTCCATACTTGCACAGCTCTTTAGAACTCAGCGCTCATGCCCGTCCCCTGCGCGCTCTCGTAACCATGTCGCCATTTTGATTCGAAATTTATGACAGAGTTTTTCTTGCTTTGCATGCTAAACTTAACCTCGCGTTTGAATTACTTTGAGCGTGAGTACGAAACATACCCCGTGTATCAGAAAAAATACCACTCGCTTTTAATTTGCAGAAGCTATTAATGTATGGGATCTGTGTGTTTGGCAGTTTTCAAGCGACATTTTGACTAACGTTAGCCAAGTTAAGCTAGCTAACGTTAGCTCGTGCCTCTTCAAAACAAATCACTAACAGGCTAACGGATGTTAGCCAACACTGAGGAGTTAGCCAAACTGACCCAGTAGCTGGCTGCTTGGCGACAGAATCCACAAAAGTCTTAACAGAGAAGGGAGGAACAACAGTAGACTTTTAATAAAAGGTAAGTTTATATCTTAAAAATGGTTACTTATTTTGAGCTACTCGCAAATGCAAACTACTTAAACTAAAGTTGTACCTAAGTTAAGTTTGCTAACTCCGCTCAACACTCGACAACTGTCATCAGCTAATTAGCTTACTTGCTAATCAGAGGAAAGGAGGAACTAGGCAATTATTTTACAAGTGAATGACTAAATATCGTCATTTGTCTTTTTTTAATCAAGTAAATAATCTTCGGCGGTTTGTTTGCCCAAGATCTGTGTTCAGTTCTTAAAATATGTCCGGCGCTTTACAACATCCAGTTCCTAAGTTTTGGCTATCACTTGTCAACAGCTGCTGTAATAAAATGGTTTCATTTTCAACCAGTTTCTCCACTGTGATCCCAACCACACAGCACATGTTTGGATTTTCCGTATATGTCGCTGCCTTAAACAACATTAAAAAGTCTTCTGTTCAGTTTTTAGTTTGCCTGGAGTCGGCAGAGGCCAATACTCAATACAGGAACAAAACAAACACGGTTCACCTTGAAATAAATTTGTAACCCAGTAGCTCGTAATATTGTTCCAACGCGAGAGTATACATTTTTGAAATTATTGTATTATTTTCCAGCGATCCCCCAGTTGAGCTGAAGTAAACAGACACCTGAGCTACTACAGCGAGTCATTTGATTAAAGCTCAGTTTACATTTATTTTCTGGGTGACCAGCGTTTCTTTTTGTTGGACTGGACTGATTCCACATGGCTTTACAAAACTTTATGAAAAGTACAAATGCATACTTACCTGTCAATCTGATTATGAAACGGGAGCTGGGCATTTAAGTAAAAAAACAAACAAAACAACTGTATTAAAACTGGTTAGGTATCAAAATCTCAAGTCTTAGCTGACAGACTCAAAAGTAAACTGGAGTAAATGTGTCACTTACATTGCATTTTAAAATGGAAAAAAAATAACAATATACGAGTAAAAATATCCAATATTGCAATCTAGTAATCTGTAATCAAACATTAGACAGTGAGCTAATTTTCACAACCTCTGAATATCTTCCTTTCAGGATGAGTTTCATCAGAGTCACTTGTTCATAACTAGAGATGAACAGATTTTTTTTCATTCATTCAACCTTTAGACAGGTAAATCCAATTGAGCCTCGAGGACTCATTTACAAGAGAGACCTGATTTCAACAAAAAATGATAACAATGGACAACAGCGGCAACAATAAACAGTTAAAAAAAAATCTGTATGATTTTTTTAGAACAAATTGGATGGCTAAAAAAAGAAGAGTAACAAAAAACAGCTAGATCATAAGGCGAATGTAGAAAACTAAAAACAGGAACATGTCTGCATTGGTCCCTGCCAGGAGTCCAACAGATTCTTAAAGCCACTTAGAGAGGTCAAGGTCTAGAGCTTCAGGTCTTTTTGTAAGATATTCCAGGAAACAGGAGAGAAGGCCCTTTTGCCAAGTTCAGTCCTCATTGAGGGAACACTGCAGGTAATAATGTCCTGAGAGCGCACGCTGTAGCTGCACTCACACAGAGACATGTAGGAGGAGATGTATGAAGGCAGCAGACCAAGAAGTGATTTAAAGATGAACATGTACCAGTGAGAGAGTCTGCGTGAAGTTAATGATGTCCAGTTAACCAGTGAATACTGGCTGCAGTGGTGGGTACGATAATCACAGCCAGTTATGAATCTTAGTGCACCATGATAGACAGCATCCAACATCTGCAGGGTTCTTGTAGGAGCGTTCATGTAAATAATGTCACCGTAATCAATGGAGGGAAGGAAAGTCACAGATACAAGGTGTTTCCTAGCATTCAGGGTTAGACAGGATCTGTTTCTGAAAAAGAAACCCAGTTTAACGTTTAGTTTCTTTACCAAGTTTTCTACATGGAGCTTGAGAGATGCGAATCAACCAAGATACCCAAATATTTATAGGAATCAACAAACTCAATGGGGACACCATTTGAGGATGAAATCAGAGGAAGAACTGCTGGGACCAACTTCCTATTTGAAAAAACATTCCTTTGGTTTTGTTGGCATTTAGGACAAGTTTGAGGTGGAACAAATCTGTCTGGATGATGTCCAATGCAGATTTCAAAAGCTGGAAAGCCTTTTCAACTGTTTTGGCTTGACAATAAACAACTGTGTCATCAGCATAGAAATGTATGGATGCATTAGGGATGTTTTTACCAACATTACATATGCAAATTGTAAAGAGGGTGGGTCCTAAGACTGAGCCTTGTGGTATACCATTGTTGACTGTTAAATAACTGGAGGAAGTACCATTATGTTGAACACATTCAATTCAATTTAAAAATACTTTATTAATCCCAGAGGGAAATTATTTGTTGTTGTAACTCGTTGTCTTCATTTCATTAAGAGATGTTATAGACACTGATGGATGTAGACAGGAAGGATCTCTTGTAAAGGTCCATCCCACAGTGGATCCTAAGAAACTGGCTGCAGATGCCGTCTGATATTATTTGAGCTTTTGAGATGTTAATCAGCTGCTGTTGGTTGTAGAAAACTGCCTTGTTGCCATGGTTACGCATCATAACAAATGTCCAAAACTAAAAAAAGTTCAGTAAAGATCCTTCCAGCTGCACAGCATTCGATACCAGAGGAAACAATCATCTAAAAAATGTGATTTACTTCCAGAAAAAGAGGAATTAAAATTTCGAAAAGCAAAATCTCAAAATGAAAGTAACAGAGCTGCTCCAACATGCAGCCACCTTGAGCGGCGCAATTCTAGAACATAGAACACATTGCTTGTCTGAGAGCTAGTTAGAGAACCAACCAATGGTGTGATGTGAGAAACCAATTTCTGAGAGCTTATGACACAAGATGTTCTGATCCACAGTGTCAAAATTTTTAGACAGGTCTAAGAAAAGTGCAGCACAATAATCCTTAGCATCCAGTGCTTCAACAACATTATTAAGAACCTTCAGTGAAGCAGTGGTTGTGCTGTGTTGTTTCCTGAAACCAGATTGATGCGGAGGTAAGATGTTAAATGAGTCCAGGTCATTTTTGATTTGAGAGTTTCAGTTTTTCTAGAACCTTGGCTAAAATGCAGAGTTTAGAGATTGGTCGATAGTTGTTCAGGCCTTCATCAAATGATGAACAAAGGCTGTTTTCCAAGCATCTAGAATGGAGTTGCTGAAGTCCTTCGTTAAAAGTAACGGGCTGCTCACTGAGGCTGAGACCGGCTCTGTTAAAGACGAAGTCCCCCACAGCCAACTCAGTTCTGTTCTAGTCCAGTTCGGGGGACACAGGTACACTTTCCCCACACCAATGAAGACACCACGAGGGCCAGTCCAGCAGAAAACCAGCGAAATACCACCCGGCGATTCTCGTCGGAACCAGGTAAAACCACAAAGGTCCAGATGACAAGGTCATTGGGGTCCAGAGAGAAAGAGAAAAAACACTGGACCTTCGTGCGACCACTCCCCAGCTTGAGGGGTCACCTGGCCGGCAGGGTGCGCTCAGAGTGACCGGTGGGGTGGGAGCGGCCGGTCCTGGACCAAAATATATTTTTGGATGGTCTCGTCCGGCTCTCTGAGTCACTGAACTCCGAATTTGGTTGGAAGGGGGGCCAACTTTAATCAGGTTTGAAAAACGGATCAGTTTTATGAGTAAAGACTGCAGAGATGCCGGAGGGAGCTGCCGTCCATTAGCTTGCCGGAAGTGAAGGGATTAATTGGCTATTAGCAATTGGCCATGCCTGTACAGAATCAGTTACCAAGCAGGAAAAGATGCATACTGCTAAAACCTAGCTCACAATTATGTATTTATTTATTTTTTGAGCAAGGGGGCCGAGATGAGGTAGAGGCAGGGCAGACGGCTGGGGACCAGAAAGTCACAGTTTGACTCCCAGCCATTCCACTTGTCATGCTGTCTCTGAGCAAGACACTTACCCAGTTGATCCCTGGTGCCTATATATGCCCCTTTTCCACCACTATTACTCAGCCCCAACTCTGCTCAGCCCGCCACGGAAAGATCCCTATTCCACCAGTTCTTTTTAGCTGATTCGGCCCTTTTTTTGTCTCTGCTTCTCTGTTGGGACGGTTCGAGCTGAGTCGAGACAAACGTGACGTCAGAACACGGTCGGTCACTCATTGGTCAGTGGGAGGAGTCACTGGATCTCAGAAACTCTTCACCGATCCGCCATTTGCAATTTCTCGGAACGCGGCGCAGGGGCTGGATCTATTTTTAAGATTTTAAAAACAATAATGACAATACCGTGTTTAATGCTGAAGTGCAGGCGTTTTTTGTGTTCGGTGACCGACGACAAAATTCGAGTGAGCGGCGTCACTGCGGAGGATCATACGAGCTGCCGACCCATTAAAGCACGCGAGTCCGGACCCCAAGTCCCGGCCTTGTGTGCTCACAAAGGCCGGACTCCGAGCCCTGGCAGGCGGGAGGACCGGGACGGGGGTGGAAACGTTTTTTATTTTATCAGTGAAGAATAAAAATGCATAAATGGTGCCGGCTTTATCATGAAGTCCTTTTTTCATTTTGACTTTATTCAATAATTTGTTAATTAAAGTTAACTCAGCTGTAAAATCATAAAAAGACAAAATTATTGGATATCAGGAATATTTCCCTCAAACATGTTTAAAGAAGAGACACAGCCTTTAGTTCAACTTTATTCTAACCCACAGATGAACAAATCACAAAACAACAATTAAACTTTAAAGCAGAGCTAACATAAAAAAAAAATCTGTATGCAAGAAACAAAACCACATATCTAAATTGAACAATAAAAGTTGACACAATGAGTGCAAATACATCAAATGATGAAGAAAAATATAAAATTTTAAATAAATGTTTGTAGAATCTGGTTCATCAGATTTAATTCAGTTTATTTATAAAGCGCCAAGTCACAACAGAAGTCGTCTCAGGGCATTGAACAGAAACATTCATATATAAAATAATAATTTAACATTATTTATCTGAGGAGCAGACTGCTTAGAGTTTAACTCATTGTAGAACTCTCACTCTTATACCTTATATATATGGAATATATATTTAATATATATGGAATATATATTTAATATATATGGAATATCTTACAAAATGATTTGACGCTCTCGACCTTGACCTCTCTAAGTGGCTTTAAGAATCTGTTGGACTCTCGACAAGGATCGATGCAGACATGTTCCTGTTTTTAGTTTTCTACATTCACCTTAGAATTTAGCTGTTTTTTGTTACTTTTCTTGTTTTTAGCCATTCTATTCGTTAAAAAAAATCTGTATGACTATGACTTTATAACTGTTTATTGTTGTCGCTGTTGTCCATTGTTGTCATCATTCTTTGTTGAAATCAGGTCTCTTGTAAATGAGTCCTCAAGGCTCAATGGGATTTACCTGGGGCGGCTGTGGCTGAGTGGTTAGAGCAGTCGTCCTCCAATGCGAGAGTTTTGGGGTTCGAATCCACCAGCAGTCACATGCTGAAGTGTCCCTGGGCAAGACACTGAACCCCTCATAGCCTCTGATGTGTGTCCCATCAGTGTATGAATGTGATAAAGCTCTGATTAGTCTCTTTAGAATGATTTGTTCAATTATCTTTGTATAGATCTAGTAGAGTGCTGTATGAATGGGTAAATGAGGACACAGATTGTAGTGTAAAGAGTTTTGAGTATCTTGAAATAAGATAGAAAGGTGCTATATAAGTACAGTCCATTTACCTGTCTAAATAAAGGTTGAATGAAAAAAACTCATTTTTAATGGCGAACTAAAGTTCCTTAAAAGTGCATTGGCAGGATTTTGGATTCTGGACTCGCCTACAGAACCGGTCCTGAAGTGCGGTGGAAATGTGACGTGTAAAGAGCTGATCTGAGCAGGGCTGAGTAGGAGTGGTGGAAAAGGGGCAACAGCTGCCCACTGCTCCACCTGGGTGTATCTCAGGTGTGATGGGTTAAATGCAGAGAACTAATTTCACCATTGTATGGGAACATATTTTTAAATGCTGTTACATATATTATGTTTAAGTGAAGCAGGTATTGTTATATCTTTGTCAAAGTAAAAAATACCTACTCATTTCCTGACCTATCAATCAGTCACCCTCTTGCCACCAGCATACTTAAATTCCTCATTTATAACTCATTTGGTGACTTGTTTGTGTGAATTTGTAAACAAATATTGATGAACCTAAAGTAAAATGGTCAATTTTTTTAAAAGTGAGATTAAGGGTCCTTCACAGGCTCCAAAAACTTAAGAATAGTAAACATTAATTATTGTAAGGCTAACATGAGTTAAGCTAACTTCCAATGTTATTTATGTTTGTGTGTTGAATACCCCCCCCCCCCCCCCACACACACAACAATAAAATGTTGTGAGCCATCAGCTGCCCTCATTTCTGAAGATTTGCATCTGCCATAGAAACACTCATACCTGTCAACCTCTATTCCTGAAACACTGGAAACTTTATTTTTACTGTTTATATACATTCGGCATACATATGGGTGTGTTTTGTATAATATAAATCTCTTTGGCTTCATTTCACTCCTTTTTAACTTTGCTAATTACAGTCGGCTTTGGCTAACAACATCCACATGTGCCCAATATGCACCATTGTTCCTCTTTTTCCCATCATCATGTGCCGATTGTTGTTGTTTTTTTAGGCTGCCTCTATTTTAGACGTAAAGTTAAGCATTTTGCTTTTCTGCTTCGGGTCCACAAGGAGAGCTCAGCAGGTTATTATTGCTCCTGTGTACTCAGTAAATGCATGCCAGATGGACGATGCTGCTGCTGCGTGTGCAAAGAAAACGTCCTCCGGGTGGGTGGGGGTGTTGGCTGTGGACAAGGAAGCACTTTGATTTCCTTCTTCAGTTTTACTTCAACAATCAACAGTTGGCCAAAGTTGGCAGTTCTAACTATTTTATGTCTTTATTGCATAGTTTAGTGACTAATGTACAGTAATTGCATGAAGAGACCCAAACTACATAAAAGTGATTTTAATAATTTTATTCAATTATTTAAAAATTTTGAACAATTGGAGACTAGTATTTTTTAGAATCATGAATTAAAACTTCACCGATGCATATTTACACATTACCGACTTGAGGACAACAGCACATGAATTTCACTGCTTCACAGATTCATTTGAACTATGAAATCATTTGTAGATTCTTTCTGAAGGAACTGGTAACACAGAAATGTGTCTGGTTAATAATCAACTTTTCATGTTCAGGTTATGGTGAGCTTCGCTGCGTCACAACTCCTGAAGAAGCTTTAGTTTTAAGAGAAGACCCATGCTGATAAATGCCAGACCTCACCACACTCTCTGTTGTCTGCGCAAACACAAATGCCTGCCTGCCTGTGGGGGAGGTCTGATTAAAGATATCCATATTTCATCCACTGGTATGTGAGAACTCGACTGTGGTTTTTCCAGCTTATAGTTGTACAAATGATGACTGCCTTTATTTTTACATGGGCTTCGAATGATCTTTTCTGTAAACAGTCTTTTTTTTGTTGTTGTCACAATCACATTTTTCAGTCAGTTTTCTTTAATCACATAGAGCAGCACTTTGTTACTGAATAACTGACAGCTTCTTATAGTTTTACTTTAATAATCTTGTTTTGTTTTTTTAAGTGCCATGTGTTTTTATTGCCAAATTCTACAGGATCGTGAAACAACCCAGTAAAATTTGTATAAAGCTGACATTAATCCAACAGTGTGTTTCGTCAGTGGCTTGGTCAGAAAGAAAACTGTTTAATAATCACTAAGTTAAGTTAATGCCATAAACTCTAAACTTCACTCTTTCTGTAAACATTGTGTTTGAGATTCTCTAGTTTAGATGTTTGTTTAGATTCTCTTTTCATCAGTTTTTTTCTATTTCTGAGTTCTTCGTTCGTCAACGTTTCACATCTTTATTCTGCCTCCTTCCCCATGCTGATGGTTTAGGGTTGAGTCCCCCATCCCAGCAGCCATCATGTTTTGGAAGTTTGACCTGCACACCTCCTCCCACATTGACCAGCTGCTGGACAGGGAGGACGTGACATTGAGAGAGCTGATGGAAGAAGATGACGTCCTGCAGGAGTGCAAGGCCCAAAACCGTCGACTGCTCCTCTTTCTCTCTCAGGACCACTGCATGCAAGAGCTGGTCAGCCTAATTACCACAGAGCCCCCTGCTGACCTGGAGGAAAAGAGCCGCTTCAAGTAAGACCTGATGCAGATAATCCAACAATAACAGCAGCAAGAAATAGATTTTACATTTGATTATTAAGTAGAATAATAATAATAAATAGTTCAAGTTTCATTATTGCCATTCGCATCACATGTGGTACATGAGGTGGAACAAAATTGTGTCAAGGTCCCAGTTACACCCCAAAATAGCAAAAATATAAAGTGTAAAAAGAAACGGTAAAAAAGGATCTAAGATATACACCAAGATATATTTTATATATATCTATATAAAATAATATATTTTTATATTTTAGTGTTAATATTGTTTAAATACAAGAAGTAAAGCAGCAGAAACAGTGAGTCACACAGGTAAAGACAGTCAAACACGCTGGGGGAGTGGGGTGTAGATGCAGATGGAGACACGTCTGTATTGTGCACTGTTTGTGCCGACCGTTGTCAACGGGGGGGTTGTTGACGGAAACGGCTCGGCATGAGGGAGACAGATGGAGCGCTACCTCTGTAGCATTTTAGCTAGCACGTCTGTATTGTGTGCCGCTAGTTTAACGGTACGTCAGTGCCGATGCTGCTTTGGACAAATTGGCATTACATGTTAATTTCTTGTTACAAAGGTCTCAGGATGTCCGGGATGTGGCATGGGGAGCGGTTGCATTAAACTGGTTACATGTGAAAGCAAAGAATTCATAAATTTATATTGAGCAATAACCTTCGTGTGTGTGTGTGGCGGGGGGGTCTTGTTTCCATTGAAATAGTGGAGTGTTAAACCCCAAACAGAACAGAGAAATAGCTTTTTCTTGGAAACCTCTGTGAATGCCGAGTGCTGATTAACTTTGCTAAAATTTGCTAAAGAAACAAAAACTGAGTTGTTAAAAGTAAAATGAGCTTAAGAGGCTGAATTGAACAAAACGCATACTAAAATGTAAAAACAGCAGAACATATAGCTAAAATGAGCTAAATTGTTTCTAAAAACCAAAAGCAGCTATTGTCGTTATTGTAGCAAAAGAGTAGCTGAAAACAGCGTAAAAATACAAAACCTATGTATCATACTTGCAAACTAGTCGCTTTTCTGCGAAATTCTAACAAAATTTAAAACTAAAACTAAAATATGCAATTTACGTGAATCGTTTAGATCCAAAGATGTTTTTTTTTTTTGGTGGGGGTGGTGGGGTCATTCAAAGGCTAGGTGAAAAGCATCGTTTCCCTTAAAGAAACAGCGTTCCTCCTCAGTCACTTGGCTTAGCAGGTGCTCATCTCTTTGGGGGGTTTTATCGACTAGGCGGAGGAAGGAGGGGTAGACACCTCCATGTTGCACGTTAGCTTACCGCTATGATAGTGACGTCAGTTGTTGACGGGGGTGGGGGCGTGGTTTAGGATATGCGAGCGAAGCAGAGCGTGTAGCATCTTAGCTAACGCATCTGTATTGTACACGGCAAAATTTGGCTTTAATATTTGAAAAGTCCATCTGATGGTGTTCTAGAGAACACCTTGAAGGAGTGTAATGAACATATCTGTTGATATTATTCATAAATTAAACGGATTCTTTCATTTTTCTGGACTGAGTAATATCGTGCCTTGAATGATAAAATGTGACGAGAGACGTTAATTTTCTTTGACCCATCAAAATGAACGTGGTCATTTATTAACAGAATCAAAATTTAACATCAAACATTTACATTAATTTGGCAAAAGTGATTACAATAACACATAGCTTAATTAGCAAGCTTTACAATTAGGAAACCATACGGCCATGGTTTCCACTTGCAGCTTTTAAACCAACAGACATTTCTGAAAATATCTGGATGATTACTGGCAGATAGAAGAGTTTTAAAGATGGGAAAATGAAGTTTAGATGG